GGACTTTTTTAGTTTTATGTTAGACATTCGAATCACTTTAATATCCACTTTAAAGCTAGAATTAAAAACAAAAAATAAATATATTTTGTGTTAGCAGGATTTAATTCTAACTTTAAAATTTATCCAACATTCATAAAACTTACCTCATGTTGCTTTTTGGACATGCGTGATTATATTTGTACAAATTGTACTTGCCTATAGAGAGGAGATTATTACAGCCTCATATAAAATCAATATATCGGGACAGTATCGATATCAAGATTTGGTTATCAGGATCGGAAGTTTAAAAATGTGGATCGGTGCATCTCTGTTACGCGTCATCGCTGACAATCTGGAAATGTGGGCCAGTGTTGTGCCAAAAATCAATAGGCTGCCAAATGGCGGCCACTGGAGGACTTTAACAAGAATTTAACAAGATAACCACCTAAAAACAATTATTTGTTTGCTCAACTTTATAGTAAAGGTGTGTCTCAGTTGAACTTTTACTTAATAAGTGCACTTCAACGGTCAAATCAGCTGCATTTCGCCGGGGCGGTGCAGAGAAATGAATCTGATTCGGTTGGTGCAGGCGAGCTGAATGAAGGTGGGAGGCTACAAGCCGACTGTGTCATTAATAGCCACTTTTACATTTTTTACTTGACAGGACATGTCATCCTACTGGACTGCCATCTAGTGGATGAAAATGGTAGTGCTCACATTTTTTCAGTCAGAATGAATGAAAACGGTCATATCTCAGCCAAAAATTGGTTTATAAATATGGGGGGAAAATCCATCAATAAGTTGCTTCGGCGTATAAGTTGCATGGCATGTAAATTATGCAAAAAACTGAGACGTATACGCTGAAAAATACGGTCAATGTGTGGTTTTGTTTCTTGTATACAGATTTTTTTTAATTATTTTAGCTTTGCTTTAAAGTTTAATGCTTGTTTTGTGATTTGTACATCTGTGTGTTCGAATAAAGTTGAACCAAAGGCCGTATCTCTTCTTTAAACATATTTGAGGGAAATATTCCTGAGAGATCCAATAATTTTTTGTTTTTATGAATTTTCAGCTGAGTTAACTTTAATTAACAGATTATTCAATAGTCAAAGTGAAAACAGGATTTCATGATAAAGCTGGCACCATTTATTTTTTAAATCTTCACTGTTAAAAAAAATACTTTTTTTTTTATATGTACATAAAATGTTTTTAAAAATTGTTTCCACCCTCCGTCCCAGACCCGTCCACGTCCACCCCTGCCTGCCAGGGCTCGGCCTCCGGTGTTCCTGTGGGTCAGCAGCATGGAGGATCCTCCTTCGGTGACCAGTGGCGCTTGGAGCCCGCAGGAGCACACAGTATTAAAAAATATGAGGAAATAAATTATAATTTATAATACTGTACTGCACATCAAGCCAACTGTTTTTACACCAGATGGACCAAAGGCGTCCATCCTTCCGCCTGATTAAAAAAAAAGAGAAATAAACGCCACATCCAAACATCAATTTTGGTATTTTATCTTTTTATTAACAAGGTTTACTTCCAATATTTTTATTTTATTAATATTATTTATCTCCCTCAAAGGGGGATCATCTGGTCCAATTCCCACCCCAGGAATAATCTCAACAGCATTTTAAACCCAGTTTTAAAAGGTTTTGTCCCATAAGTCACAGAGCTACTGTACTTTCTAAGACTTGATGAGACAAAGTTAAAGTTCTGTCTCATACTTATTCGACTTTTCCATTATTTCCCTTTTTCTCAGTTAAACAAATTGTGCTTTATTGTAACTCTCGTCCAGCTGCACCTCCAGGACTTTTATACTGTTTATAAATGAAGCTCAGCTCTAACCTCTCTGACCACCTTGCAGCTGTCCAAGAAGGACATTATTACCCCTAGATGGCATCTTTTGCTCTGGTCTGTTCCCTTTTTTTAATTTTCTATTTTCTTTCTCCCTTCCTAATCTTGAGCAGGCCCCTTTTCCACCACTCCTATTCAGCCCTACTCAGATCAGCTCTTTACACCTGCACTTCTGGAGGCGTGTCCGGAGTCCAAAATCCTACTAATGACTTTTAATGAACTTTAGTTCACCAAGTGATAGTTCTGCCATGAGTTAAACTCAAAGCAGTCTGCTCCTCTGATAAATAATGTTAAATTATTATTTTTAAATATGAATGTTTCTGTTCAGTGCCCTGAGGTGACTTCTGTTGTGATTTGGTGCTATATGAACTGAATAGAATTAAATCTCTGATGAACCAGATTCTACAAAAACATCTATATTTAACATTTTTCTTCATCATTTGATGTATTTGCACTCATTGTGCCTGCTTTTGTTGTTTAATTTAAATATGTGATTTTGCTTCTTGTATAATACAGATTTTATTTTAGCTCTGATTTAAAGTTTAATTCTTGTTTTGCGATTTGTACAACTGTGCAGTGTGTCAATAAAGTTGAACCAAAGGCCGTATCTCTTCTTTAAACATGTTTGAGGGAAATATTCCTGAGAGATTCAATAATTTTGTCTTTTTATGATTTTTCAGCTGAGTTAACTTTAATTAACAGATTATTCAATAAAGTCAAAGTGAAAACAGGATTTCATGATAAAGCTGGCACTGTTTATTTATTTTTATTCTTCACTAATTTAAAAAAAACATTATTATTTATACATAAAATGTAAAAAAAAAAAAAAGTTTCCACGAGCTGAGCAGAGTTGGGGCTGAGTGATAGTGGTGGAAAACAACTCCCATTTTCACATGCACTCCGGCGCCATCTTCACAGACTCACACACAAGACTCCATGTTCATTTAAACACGATATCGATCAGTGTCAAGTTCCCACGTGACTTTTAATGATAGCTCCTGGCCACCTAACTCAACCAACCATAAATTCCCTCCGTGGATTTATTTGCATGCACATTTTCAAGCATTGAAAACAGGCTTACAAGATGTTGCATGTCGCTCCGGTCCAAGGTCTGCCCACGGAGAAGTTAGGAAAAGCTTAAATATCCATTATCAGACAGAGACGAGGTCAAGACGACCTCTGCACAGCTCATTTGTTGAAGGCGGTTATCAGACTCCTCTCTGAGTGGACAGAAAGACTCTTTTAAGTTCACATACATGACTCTATATTAATTTAACATTAAAACATCCATGACCTTTACATATCTTCCCCCATCAAGAATTTACACATTTCCTGTCAGCTTAATGGACGCTACAAATCCGGACAGCAGAAAATATTTTACTGACAAAGAAGGTGACAGCTTGAGGTTATTTAACAGAAAACTTTTTTTCCCTCCAATGTTCTTAAAATTGTAATGCTTTCTTCTGCAATAAATGGAAACTGTATTTATGGTGATTTAAAAAAAAAAAGGCATTTTTTATTCACAAGTTCTTGTTTAGGCAATTTTTGTGTAATTTAAAAGCCCTCAAGAGGCAGCCTAACATTCTAAATAAATTATTTTTGTGTATTTTGTGTAAAACAGCCGAACCTCGGCTGCTGGTTTATTCAGGTTTAGTTTGTATCTGATTGTCCTGCAGCATCAACTCATGTCAAGATCAGCTCTAACCCAACAAGTGAGCGGCTCCTCAACCAGCGGAAACAAATGTCTTCAAACAGTTACGTTGTTTTTAGAAGCAGAAACAAAATAAGAAAATAAATATTAGATGTATTTAAGTCAGAGAGAGATTTATTTGTCATACACACCACATGTGATACGTGAGGTGGGACGGAACTATGTACACAGGGTCCCAGTTATATCCAACACAAACACAAATTGTAAAGAAAAACATTAGTAAGATCCAAGTCATGAACTAAAAATATACTATATACTATACTTTTTTGGTTTGTTCGTTTTGTTTTTTCCACAGTAATTTTTCACAGTGGTTATTCTGGTTAGAAATTCATGAGTCTAACAGCCTCAGGGTAGAAGCTGTTCCTCAGCCCAGTGGTTCTGCACTCAATGCTCCCCCAGTATTCTGCCTGAGGGGAGCGGGGCAAAAAGTGTGTGTGCTGGGTGTGTGGGGCCCTTCATGATGCAGGTGGCCCTCTTCCTGCATCTGGAGGTGTAGATGTCTGTGATGGTGTTAACAGGAATGAATGCTTTCAGAATACCAGATCTCCCGCTGCTATGACCCTTCCTGGCATGCTTTGTGTCCCTCCGTGACATGTACTCTGTATGTCCACGGCAAATACAAATACAGTGGGGTGTAATACAGTGGATAATGTTAACACGAGTGTGTGAAAACATTTAGGACATTATAGTACAAGCTTCTCACTACTTATTTTATAATAATGTATAAATATAACATCTTATTTTTAATGTGGCAGCACGGTGGCGCAACTGGTAGAGCTGCTGCCTCTCAGTGAGCAGGTTCTTGGTTCAAACCCCGGTCCAGGGGCCTTTCTGGGTGGAGTTTGCATGTTCTCTCCGTACATGCGTGGGTTTTCTCCGGGTGCTCCGGTTTCCTCCCACAGACCAAAAACATGCATGTTAGGCGGATTGGTAACTCTAAATTGTCCCTAGGTGTGAGTGAGAGAGTGAATGGTTGTTTGTCTCGTTT